ACGGAATTGGGCGCGCGAAATTCCTCGGCACGAAGGCTCCAAACAGCTGGTCCAATCATCCTTGCGCCTACTGCATGGTGAGACAGCAGAATGACGATACCAGCGGCGATCTGGGGAACCCAAACTTCGACATCGGTAAGCACCGCCGCGCGTGGGGCCAGATAACGGAGGGCTTGTCCGAGCTGGATGCCCTTGCGGACCTAAGAGAGCAGGATCGACGCTCGAAAGAGTTGGGGCTGGTGGCGCCGGACGCGTCCGGACTCCCATTACCGCTGTACACTGCCATGCGCATTGTTCCCACGGAGCACGTTCCTGTCGAGCGACTGCACTTCGACGCGCTGGTGAGAGTCTAATCTGCAACCCATATACCCTGGGTGAGAGAGTCACAAAAGTAAGGGGCACACACCTTCCTCATTGAAAAAGCACCCCAGATCCCTGTACGCCGAATAACGTACGCCGTGTCGAAGAGGTCGGAGAACTCCCGAAGCGTACACTAAATGTCTATAAACGACGAATACTTTTTCGCCCATATCAGACCATCACCTTTTGTGGCTAAGCGTGCGAGATTGTCTCCTTCCGCGCGGCATCCCTACCACCGCCTATTGACGATAGGGGCAAAGTCAACTGTGCCAGGTTTTCTTCTTGGAGATGCTTTCCACTGCAGCTCGCCAGCTTGTTTCAGCTATCATGGCTCAGAAGCCACCTTTGCTCTACCCACCCGGCACGGAGAAGCTGAAGGATATAGTGACGAACTACACTTCTCTCACTGGAAGCGACAAGTGGACACTTCAATCGATCATGCTTCTAGTGTTCCGGATGGTTCTTCAGAATGTTCCGGCTATGGTATGTACGTACTCCCGACGCCGCATATTTCGTCTGACGTTGGCGTAGTACGGTACTAAAGTGTAGTCCTTGGTGTTGCACATCCGATGCTGGACCGCTCTCGTCGTGGTTGCGCTTCGGAAGCAGGGTGTGATATCCCGCCGAACCTAATTAACTCCTGCAGCACTTCTTTACAATTGTCGAGCCCCATACGCACGGGCGAAGCTTGACATGCCCCGTTGATTACCCACACATCAAACAGAGCGGTCTATAACACATGTTGGCTGTATCATCGGGACGCGCCTGACCACCGTACTTGTCGCCACACCTTGCCCCGTCGTTGCCGCTGTCGCTGGACTCCCGGCCGTGTAATGTATACCTGACAGAGAGAAACATGAAGACGCGGGAGATCAACGACCTCAAAGCGGAGTGGGGAACATACGAGGATGTGTTGGAAGCGCTGCGGGAGCTTTTGAAACGGGCGTCTCTCCTATCAATCGCCCTCCGCGCGCCATCGTTCACCGAACCGGAGCTGCTGCAACTCGACAAACTCGCGCGTGACGCGGTATGTAATCTGACATTACTTGTCCGTTTGCTCTTTTACGCCTGTATGTGTTGACATCAGGCATTTGGTTTTTATGGGCGTGGCAGAGAGCGGAGACATCAATATTGGATTTGGTGCGCGACACTATTACATAGCAGCATTATGATGCTGCTGTAATGCTGCTGTTTTTGACGTTGAAGCAACGGCGGCTTCATGATTTTTTTCAATGGACGGGGGGCGACCGCCGATATCTATCTTGGATGCATAGTATGCCTATGTGACTAGTCTACACACGACCAATCATGCCGAACACGAAGATAACTACACTAATTATCTTTCCAATCACGAAGAGAGTTAAACGCAACACGAAGAAAGATAAACGCGCGCTGTGTCCGTGCCACATATATTGATACATCTCCGGTGACCAAATATGCACCAAGCACTTGTTCTTCTCTACGAGCAACAGACATGATTCTTTTCTTCAATGGTTGGAATCGGCCGATGCCCCACAGGAAGTAGACACAATTCCGTGGTAAGTTTGCAACGGCTGCACAACGCTCGCCTGTCAGGTCGGGGCCTTCTTCAAAATTATGGGGAGGACAGGATCGCGGCCCACGATACACTCCATCTTGCATACTGTGGAGGCTATTCGTCTGCACGGTGAGAAGGTTTCCAAGGTCCATGCGTGGTGGATGGTCGGATAGGCCTTCTCACCAGTCGCCACATCGTTGTTGCTATAATTAAGCCTAACAATAGACCACCTGTGGTGCATCGCACTACTCACCTTCCCATTCACCTTCACCACTCGACTCTCCCAAACCAAAGGCTGGGCTACGAGACGAGCGTTGACAGTGCATTACTGTCCATGTTGCTCGGAAATGGGCATCCAAGCCGAACCTAACCGTCGCTGCCCGTGAAACACACGCGTTGAACGAAACGTCTAGGAATATGCCCGGACGCAAGCACGTGT